ATTTCTCAGCAACACCCACTCTTTCATCCAAACTAAACAACAAGCAGCAAAATATAATTTCAGATCAGGTAAACCCAATCCTCCCCTTTCCTTTGCATCTTGTAACACCTTATATTTAACTCGTGTTTTTTTCTCTTGCCATACAAATTTCGATATATCCTTCTGCCATTGTTTAAATGGTGTCAAAAAAGGTTTCCTGTCTCCATTTCAGAGAGAACCAGGAGAAAATGATTTATTACCTTCTACTTGACCGCAAGGAGAGATATCCCAGCTGTGAGGATGAGGACCTGCCTCCACGCAATGATGTTGGTGAGATGTTGGGGAAACGTTTCTCCAAGCATTTCATCAGGACCAGACAAACAGAGTAGTGGTGGTGGTGACTGCTGATGACTCAGGGGGTTAGCAAGCATTTCCAAATTTTCTTCTTCCCTCAATATTTCATTTGACTGATATGGAGGAAACAAGAAAGATCAGAGCGGCATGTAAATACATGTCAATGTATTTTTGGTTAAAGCTCCACTCTTTGTAGATGTCTTCTGCCCATATACCTTATTAAGGCAGGGAAAGGCTTAACATACCTTGAGAAATACAATACCCCCCCCCCCAAATCCTCTAGGGTAAAATAAGAAATTCTCAGGTCTTTCTCTAGGACAGTATTTCTCAACCTTGGCCACCTGAAGATGTGCAGACTCCCAACTGCTGGCTGGGAATTCTGGGAGTTGAAGCCCACACATCTTCAAGTGGCCAAGGTTGAGAAACACTGCTCTAGGATGTTACAGACTCATCCTATACAGATCTCAGTCACAAGAAGAACAATAACAATCCCTAAGAACAGCTTCCAGGCTATCCAAAAGTTGCTTTTCCTAGCAATATGTGGGGCTATGCAGGGCACTGAATTCTGCTGATGGCACAAAGAACAGCATTTCTATATAGCTAATCAGGACCATTATTTGAATCAGGCAAAGTCAGATTCAAATAATCCACCTGATTCAGAAAATGGATTTGATTCAATTCAATTCAGATTAATTTGGAAAATGGATCCAGTTTGGATGTTTGAAATGGGTAGATTTAATTTGGATTTTTGAATCAATTAGGAGAAGCTATCCCTGTGCCTGTATAACAGCATCTAGATTGATTCACAGGCAGCTGATTTGATCTGCAGATAAAATCACCCTTGAACTGAATCTCCAAATCCAACATTTCCAGAGTCCTAGTATCTCATCTTCATTCCCAAATTCTCTTCTCTTGCTCAGTCAAAGCAATGATAGTGCATATGTGGGTAGATGGATGGGTGGGTGGGTGATGGATTTGAAGGCTTTGTTTTCTTCTTCTGAATATGGTATGTTTCCTATATAAACACCAGCCTCTGAACTTCACCCAAAAGGAAGCCCTTATTGGGCCCTCCTCCCTTATGCCAGTTTGGTACAGTGGTTAAGGTGCTGGCCTAGAAACCAGGAGACCGGGAGTTCTAGTCCCATCTTAGGCATGAAAGCCAGCTGGGGACTTTGGGCCAGTCCCTCTCTCTCAGCCCAACCCACTGCACAGGGTTTGTTGTGGGGAAAATACAAGGAGGAAGGAGTGTTATGTATGTTCACCACCTTGAGTTATTTATAAAAAAATAATAAAGGTGGGATTAAAAAAAATCAAATAAACAAACAAACAAACAAACAAATAAATAAATATGTTTCAGACCCTCCTCGGAAGCGAGTTGACTCACCTATGCTGAACCGACATGGCAAACGCCGACCTGAGCGGAAGTCCATGGAAGTCTTGAGTGTCACAGATGGTGGTTCTCCAGTCCCAGCCCGACGGGCCATAGAGATGGCACAACATAGCCAGCGGTGAGCTTGCCCCCAACTACGTGCATGTGTGAAATAGGGTAATGAATATCTCAAGTCTGGCATTTGGGGACTCCGCTGTCTTTCAGTGTGCTTTCTGGCCACTGAAAATGGAACTTGCAAATATTTTAATGATTGGCTTACCTCTAAGGCTGTTCCAGGAACAATCATGCACCTTTAAAGTAAAGATTTCCCGAAATCAAGCTCCATACGTGATAACTACAGGGACACATCCATGTAGCATTTTTGGCAACAGTATGAAAATGTCTTACCACTGCCTTCTTCTGAGACTTTTCTTCAGCTTTCCAGTCTAGCTTATAGCTCTAGGATTTCCTGCTGTCTTCTATCCAAGTACTAATCAGGTTCAACTCTATTTAGCTTTGGGGACCTGCCAGATACTGCCAACAGCTGCGCCTATGTATCTCTAAAAAGTGGTCAAGCTCCCTGCCTGGTAACTTCATGGTTTTATTTATGTTGCTTCCTTGGCAACAGTGTGGAAGTGGTTTCTCGCTGCTTTCTTCCAGTTCTTTTTTGATTCCTAGTCTAACCTAAAGCACTGGCATATTTTGATGGTCTCCTACTATGCAGATCTTGACTGCTTGATTATGTGCCATCAAGTCATTGTTGACCCTGAGTGACCACATAGACAGATTTTCTCCAGGACAATCTGTCCCAACCTGGTCCTTCAAGTCTTCCAATGGTGTACCCATCGCCATTGTAACTGAGTCCATCCACCTTCCTGCATCCTCTTTTTTCTCTTTCCTTCCACCTTTCCCAGCATTATGGATTTCTCCAAAGAGCTAGGTCTTTGCATAATGTATCCAAAATGCAGATCTATTCTACATAAAATTATATAAATAAATTCACTTCTCACCCCTATGGGTGGTACGTGTCTTCCTCAATCTCAGGTCCTCTGCCAGAGGCCTGGGAGTTTGAGGGTTCTGTGCAATATCTTAGCTGTTCCTAGCACTGCACTCTTCTGGACAGAGAGCTCTGATGTTGTTCCTGGTATCTTTTGGAGCCACTCTCCCAGCTCAGGAGTCACAGCCTGCTCCTACCACCACTGGGACCACTTTGGCCATGTGTGTGTGTGTGTGTGTGTGTGTGTGTGTGTATCTATCTATCTATCTATCTATCTAT